TCCATTTTTCTGGATCTCCTATAGAGATCTTTGTATTGTCTGATACTGTTCTTTTCAAAAACGTATTATTTTTGTTGTCATTTAGGCCTAATTTTATTTTTTAGAAGTGAGAAAAGTATGATCTTACTCTCTTTAGAAAACAGTAGAAAAGATTAGGTTGATTCAATTTTGGTGTCAATAGCTGACTATCTACTGGCTATTCTTTAGGGGATAAAACTGTACAATGGATTTATTTACTTATTTATATATTTATTTATTTTTGCCAGTCTTGGGGCTTGAACTCAGTACCTGGGTACTGTCCCTGAGCTGCTTTTGCTCAAGGCTAATACTCTACCCTTGAGCCATAGTGCCACTTCCAGCCTTTTCTGTGTATGTAGTACTCGAGGAATCAAACCCAGGGCTTCATACATGCTAGGCAAGCATTTTACCACTAGGCCATATTCCCAGCCCCAGGTTTGCTTGTTTTTTTTGGGAGGGGGTTGCTTGTTTCTCTTGTGCTGGAACTTGGGCCCAGGGCCCTCCCCCTTAGTTTTTCACTCAAGGTTGGTGCTCTACCACTTGAGGCACCACTCCACTTCCAACTTTTTGCTGATTAATTGGAGATAACAGTCTCATGGACTGTTCTGCCCAGGCTGGCTTGGAATTTTGATCCTCAGATCTCAGGCTAAGTAGCTAGGATTATAGGAGTGAGCCCCCAGCAATTGGGCCCATTTTCCCCCCTAATATACCAAAGAATACAAAAAAGGAGAGACAACCTTTCCAGTCTACTCAAAGATGGAACACCATGACTTATTGTAAACAGAGGACAAGAGGAAAGCCATGGAAAACAATTCAGTTCAAGTTTCACCAGACATTTTTCTAGCAGTTGAAGGCAATCAGACTTCCAAATCATGAACCAATTAATAAACAGGCATAATTCAGGTCTAACTAATTCCAGAAGGACAGTTCCTGGTGTGCTTCCTACATCTTAACCCAGTGCCACCAAGGAGCCAGGTGCTTTCCTTTTTTCTGGCCAGCTGCTCAGCTTCCCCAGTATGTGGCCAACGTTTTTTTCATGAGCTCCAGAGATTACAGCAGTTCCAGGCACCTCCTATAACTATGAAGCTGAGACTGGCTTATAGTTATGGAAGTTGAAGGTCAAGAGGCTATAGCCACTGATGAAGACTCAATTATATTATTATTATTTGGTTGGTCATGGGGCTTTACCTCAGGACCTAGGATATGTCCCTGAATTCTTTCACTCAAGGCTAGTGCTCTACCATTTTGAGTGACAGTACCACTTCTGGTTTTCTGGTGATTAATTGGAGACAATAGTCTCACAGACTCCTGCTCCAGGCTTGTTTTGAACAGAGATCCTCAGATCTCAGCTCTTGGGTTACAGGTATGAGACATCAGAACCTGGTGTCTCATTATTTAAAATGAGAGCGAAACACTGTGTATTAGTAAATTAAAGTGATGTGAAACCTAGAGATGATACCTTCTTCCAAAGATTCACTTTACTTTTTTTTTTGGAGGGGGGGTACTATGAAGGTTTGAGGCACTCTACTCTTTGAACACACCCCCAGGAAGACATATACTTTTGATTGGAACTAGGAATCTAGGATTACTTTAATTCAGTAACGATTGTATTGATTTAAAACTGGATTTCTTACCAGGACTAGTCTATTTCCCTTTTAATACTTTTACCTTTTCTTCAAGGTCCCAGTATGGGCCCTAAGCCACATTCCCAGCGCCCCAATAACTTTTTTTTTTTTTTTAGAAAGGTGAATGTAGGACTGGAGGCATGGTCAAGCAGTAAAGTGCCTGCCTCCAAGTACAAAGCCCTGAGGCCATGAAGCCCTAAATTCAAACCCCAGTATTGAATCAATTCAAAGGCTAATGTAACAAAAGCAATTCTGAAGAACAGCAAGACAAGGAGACACTTGGCATATAATACACATCAAAACTTATCAGCTGGGTGTGATGGCACTACACTACCCAGTAGCTGGTAGACCCAGCTACCTAGAAGGCTGAAGCAGGAAGATAGGATTTATTAGGCCCAGAAGTTGGGGGCAACATGGGGAGACCCAATCTTATGAGCAGATAGATCAAAAGTCACAAAACTCCCCAAACAGGATTACAGTATAGTTAAAGAGGATGTGAGATAAAATATACTTCACAACCAACAATCCTGGCACAATTAGTTTCTACATAGAAAAAAAAGATTCTCAACACTGACTTTGTACACCAAACTTAGTTCCACCAGGTGCATTAAATATCTAAACATAAAAACCAGAAAGTTTAGAGAAAAATACCAAGAAAAAATTTCTTGTGTTTGTTTTTGGCAGTACTGGAGTTTGAACTCTGGGGTTGGCACTTTGCTAAGCAGTTGCTTTACTATTTGGGTCACACTTGCAGCCCTAGAAACATTTTCTTATCTGAGACAAAAAGCACAAATAATAAACTATTTTTTGGTTATAATAAATTAAGTATTTACAAATTAGCAAGAAAAAATAAAATCAGTAAGTGGGCAACAAAAATTAAAAGGAAGAACAGATAAGTAAAATGATATATATATAATAGAAAATAATACACATCATTTTGTTTAGTATGTTTTAGTAGCTTTAAGTATAAAATATAAATACAACAAACCTAAGTGCTGGAGAAGAAATAAAATTTTTGGTATACAAAACATCAAATGTGCAGTAGTTACCACTGGAAAGAAGAATGAAAGGATTTAACTGTTTCTCTTTCTTTTTTTAATTTACAATAATTTATTTTTGCTGATACTGGGACTTGAACTCAGGGTTGCCAGCTTTTGCTTAGCTTTTTCATTCAAGGCTGGTGCTTTACCACATAAAGCATAATTCCAGTTCTGGCTTTTTGCTCATTAATTGGAGATGAGAATTTACTGGATTTGTCTATTTGAGCTGGCTTTGAACAGAATTCCTTAGATCACACCATGATTTAGGTGTGAGGCTCCAGAATCCAGTTAACATATTTATTTAGTAAGTCAGTCGACGAGTAATGGGGCTTGAACTCAGGGCCTGGAAGCTGTCCCTGAGCATTTTTTTTTTCTTTTTTTGCTCAAGGATAGCACTTTTCCACTTTGAGCCACAGCTTCACTTGGTTAACTGGTGATAAGAGTCTCACGGACTTTCCTGCCCGGCTTAACTTTTATTTATACATAAAAGAATGGAAATTTGGCAAATGTTAATACTTCTTAACGTCGAGATGTTAATACTCAAGTATTATCTTTCTACCAGTCTGTGTTTTTAAAAACCATTCAAGGGCTGGGAAGGTGGCTCAGTGGTAGAGCGCTTGCCTTGCGTGCTCAAAGCCCTGGGTTCGATTCCTCAGCACCACATAAGCAAAAAGAAAACAGCCGGAAGTGGCGCTGTGGCTCAAGTGGTAGAGCGCTAGCCTTGAGCTGAAGAGCTGAGGGACAGCGCCCAGCCAGAGTTCAGGCCCCATGACTGGAAAAAAAAAACAAAAAACCATTCAAATGAAAAGGGAGAAAATGGTTATTTTTTTTTACGTGAACAGATGCAAAAATAAAAACGCTCTCTTCCAGCAAACTGTCTAAATGAAAACAAAAGTCAGCGTCACTCTTTAAAAGGCCGGCAGAAAGTGTTGTTCCGGCTTAACAGGGTTTTTAATGAAGCCCAGGACTTGTTATGTGCCTACCATTAAACTGAGGAGTTATTATGTCCAGGCAGTTTAGCGCGTAAATATTAAAGGTTGCAGAACACGTTAGAAGTCTACTCCAGTACATTAGGAATTTTTTTTTACGTTCAGAAAATCAACATTACTACACACATCTGAACCACATTTACTGAGTTAAATGTCCACCTATCTAAAAAAAAAGAACCAAAAAACTTAAAAAAAAAATCCCCCCAAACCAAAACCCCACATCGATTCGTGAAGCTCTTCCAATTCGGTACGTTTAGCTCTTTCGGAAGTTGCAAAGGCCATTTGCTACTGATTAAAAACAAAACAAAAACGATCAGGCCTTAGGAACACACACCCGGTTTGGCACACACAGGCCACTCCCGGGCCGGGCAGGGAATTAGACCCGCTTCCTAGCGTGGTTCCCGCGGATCTCAGCTCCGCGGCGCCCGGAGAGGCCGCCGGGGCGCACCGGTGACCTTTCGGGTTTCCACCGACTGCTCAAGAGGTTGTAAACAGCTTTTACAGAAGGGCTCTTCTCCGGGTCGAGGTCGGGCTGGACAAACGCCGTTCTCAACTGCTGGAGGCCAAAGTTCCAAGCCTGGCCAGGGGTCCGAGCGGCGGCGGCGGCGGCGGCGGCGGCGGCGGGGTCCGCGAACCCGCGCAGGGCACCCGCCCCCCCCGCCCCCAACTTCGCCTCTCCCCCACGCCCGGCTCCCACGGACGCGCCCGGGCGCTCCGGGGAAAACCTCACCGCGACACCGCGGACTCGGAAACCACCTGGGCCCGCGTCCGGGGTCCCCGCGGACCCCCGCCAGCACCCCCCCTCCCACCCTCCCTCCCGTAACGGCCTCAACCGCCTCCGGCCAAGCCCCTGCTTTCGGCCCACCAAACCCCGTGCGCGAAGGATTTCACACTCACTGGAAGGTGGGGCCGGGTCCTGGTCCCGGCCCGGCCCCCGGGATTCGGCGGGTCTCCCAGGGTTTCGGGGGAGGCTGAGGCTGCGACGCCATCTCTCCGCCTCGGGTCGGCTGCCGCTCCCGGCCCGGACGGTCCCCGGCCCCGGTACACAAACGCCTCACGCGCCAGGCACGATGAGACGAACGCCGAGCATCCTACCCCGCCCGTCCCGACAGGTCTGGGGAAAGCTTTGGGGGCGTCTATCTGAGACCAGGAGAATGCTACCCATTCGTGGGAGGAAAAGTTCCCTTCTTACTTTCCCTAGGAAGAGTCTGCGTCCTAAAGTGGCGGAGGTGGGTTCATCGATGCTTCCGGCAGAGGCTAGTGTGGCCTAGAACTGAGCGTGTGTGGGGGGGGGGAGGGGTCTTCTCGGGGAGCCGGCCCTTCCCCTGGGGAGCGATGCCCGCGGCGCGGTCGAGCCCACAGACAGCGTGGGGTGTGCCCACGACCGCACACCCGGAGGTTCGTACAGATCTCCCAACAAACAGGGAGACGTGCGCTCGGGCCTCGCTGGAGGGGGCCTGGTACTTTCGTTCCAAAGCTCGGGTTTCCTCGGGGAGCAGAATTGCTAGGCGCACCGAGTGCGTGGCCTTTAGTCTTCCCCGTTCCCTCCGAGGGCCGGAAGGGTTAAATCCCTGGGTCCCGGCATCTCCGGAGCAGGTGAGGCGGAGAGGGCTGAGCGGACGGGTTCGCGCCCCGCCGTGGGAGACTGGCAGCGGAAGGAGATCGTTGTGGAGACCGCTGGAGCGGCCTTGTGGGCCGGAAGAGGTAAGTAGGAAGTTTCTTGGACCAGAGCAAAGAGGATAAGGGATTGCTTGGATCGAGCTTTGACGCGGGGGGTGAACTTTCCAAGAACGCAGGGTAGAGTCAGTGGCTGAGTAACTTAACCGTAGCCCAGTCGAAATGGTGAGCATGGCCTCTGGAAATGCACACTCCCACCCTGCAGCCAGGAGACGGATTGCATCCGTGTGCATGGAAATGAATTTTGGAACATCTCACCGTGTGACACTCCAGCCTCTCCCCGCCCTCCCCACGTCTTTCTTTCCTCCTCCTTTATTCATCCCCATTTTTTTCCCACTCCATTGTTTCAAATTTTGTTTTGCAATTGACCAGAAGGAAGGAAGTCCCTCCTTTCCATTAAATCAGACTGGATATGTGGAGAAGGGGTTCAGTCTCCTTAGAGGTCCATACACGTGGTAGCTGCTTCCTTGCAAAGTTTCTTGAGTCCTTTCTGTAAAACAAACATGAAAACAAAAAGCAAAACTCATAATAATGGCAGCTGACACTGGAAAACTTACTGTGTGAGATGTATTTCTCAGGGCTTGCTTGCAATAGTAAATCTAAGGGGACAAACTGATTTTGGGAAATTCTGTCATTTCACTACATCAAGATGGGACTGTTAGCGAAATGGAGCGCCCTTCCCATAGCTTAGTACACTCCTTCCCCTCTCCACAGCTTAGCCTGCTCCCTTCCTAGGCAACACTAGGCCCATCTAGTAAATAATCAGCCTCCAACCCCCTATACCTTGGGATGGCACTTCTCTGGGGGCAGCTACCACCATATAAGGCAACAGGAACCCCTTAGAGGGACCTTCAGCAGACCTGAAGGCAATTGCAGGACCCTTTATCTACAATTTGGACAGCACCTATAAATCCTAGTCTGCCATAATGAAGCCCCTGGCCCACACATCCACACCAGGGTCTCCACCTCCTAGCCCCTTCTAGTCCCTACTAAACCTCCTAGGTTATCTAGGTCACCTCAGACAATAGCCGGTGCTGCTTCTCCCTTGTAAGAAGGGATTTTGCCGGCCCCTCTCTCCACAATAAACCTTTCTTTGTTTTCTGTACCTGAATGTCTGCATAGTTTTCTGGCAAAGTCCAAATAATCTAACAGGAATAACCAGATTCCTTTTAATGTTAACATACTTGAGAAGTAAATATGTTACTTAAGTGAAAGTGTTGAGAGGTCTATAAATCCAAGGCTCAATTATTAACACATCTGAGTGTTTTGAACATCTTGAAATTACTCAGGTCAGGAAATTTTATCATTCTTAACAGGTCTGAGAACTTTTCAGACCCAGAATGTCATTTCCTGACTGCATAGTACTCTTATTTTAATCGATCTATTGGAGAAACAACATTCCATCTTTAGGCTAAAGGAAAAAAAGCAAAAATGTAGCTATTTAAGTTGAAAAAAAAAGTTTCACTAAGAAGTTTTCTTCTAAAGCCTGTTGCTGGTTTTAATTTTTGTTGTTGTTGTTTTGCCTGTCCTGGGCCTTAAACTCTGAGCCTAGTTGCTTTCCCTAAACTCCTTTTGCTCAAGGCTAGTATTCTGCCACTTGAGCTACAACACTGCTTCCAGCTTTTTCTGTCATTAATTACAGATAAAGTTTCAGACATTCCTGCTTGGGCTGGCTTCCAGCTGCGATTCTCAGATCTCAGTCTCTGGCTTTTTTTTTTTTTTAATGGAAAGAGGGTATATTTGTATTTCTTTCAAGTTAAAGATTAATTCTGAATTCAATTGCATCCTGGGCCTGCCTTAACTAATAGAAAGGAGGAGAAAAATAACAATGAGAAAGATAGAAAACCATTTATTTATGAGAGTTCAATCACATGTATTTTATTTTTATTTTTTTTTTTTTTTTTGGGTCCAGTCGTGGGGCCTGGGCGCTGTCCCTCAGCTCTTCAGCTCAAGGCTATCGCTCTACCACTTGAGCCACAGCACCACTTCCGGCTTTTTTCTTTTTGCTTATGTGGTGCTGAGGAATCGAACCCAGGGCCTCAGGCATGCAAGGCAAGCACTCTACCACTGAGCCACCTTCCCAGCCCTCACATGTATTTTAAATGCTTATTTTTAGCCTCATGGATCCAGTCCTTTCTCAACATCAAGTTAACAGGTTAAGTGAGTTGGGTAAGATATTCTAATGTCAACAGTGATCACATAGTTTCATTATTTAGAGTACTCCTGTCTATATCCCAAGTACTTTGTTGACAGTACCCTTGAACCTAGATTTACTTAGGCAACCCTGGTTGTTTCTCAATTTTGGTGTATGAAAGTTCTTACTGTGTCCAAACAAGCCTGGCTTTTTTCTCTATTGTTACAATCATACTTAGATGAAGTAGAACACAGCTCTGGAATATTTACTTGTCTTGATAAGTAGCCACAGACATTTAGAAACTTATAAATAGTGAGTTTTAAAGGTCTGGAAAACACAGATTTAACTATAGGAATTACATCTTCATAGTAAACTCTTGGTAAGAGCTTTATTGTCCCACAGATTTTAGGCAAGTTTATTGACTTATGAAATTACACAAATTAAGAAATACTGCTGTCTATATGACCCAATTGTAACATTCTACAACTTTTGCAATCATTTAAAATAAATCAGTTCATCCTTTTAAAGTAAATGTGGATCCATTGACTATTTTAAATAAAATCATTAGTTCATTATTTTAAAGGAAATGTGGATCCATTGACTAATCAAATGAATTTTTTCCAAACATAGAGTTATTGGGTAACTTCAACTTTTGGTACCTTTTTTTCCTAGCAGTAGAAAATTTTATGTTGGCTTCTCCAATACAAATATAATTAAGTTTTTAAAAATGTGTTTATTCAGATTTCAAAACTTGGCACCATTTAAGGCAAATGATTACTCATATTTTACACTTTTTTTTCTACTCCTAGATTAAAAGGAGCAAGTTTTTCTCATTTTGCAAACAATTACTTGGAACTTATTTGTATCATCAAAACTGATTCTTTGAGTCCTACTGATGTATTTGTTTAATTTTTTAAAAAATTTTTGGTGGTGATTTGAACTCAGGGCTTCAAGTGTTCTACCACTTGAGCCATGCCTCCTTCCTAATCAATATATTTTAAGTATTTGACTGCTATCAATAAGGCTAGACCACTATTACTATATAAATTAATCTGAATTATTTTCTAACAAACTCATTTTTCATAGGAAAAAAATACCTTAGCAACTCTCTTAACACTGAATATTACAAAATTAAAAGTAAGACGTCACCTCTGGTTTTGTTTTTGTTTTTTTGGGTCCGGTTGTGGGGCCTGAACTCTGGGCCTGGGCACTGTCCCTCAGCTCTTCAGCTCAAGGCTAGTGCTCTACCACTTGAGCCACAGGGCCACTTCCGGCTTTTTTCTTTTTGCTTACGTGGTGCTGAGGAATTGAACCGAGGGCCTCAGGCATGCAAGGCAAGCACTCTACCACTGAGCCAGCCCCAATTCACCTCCTCTCAGCAGCAACCTTTTTATTTCATTTATTTATTTATTTATTTAATTGTGTTTGTACTGGGACTTGACTCAGGGCTTTATGCTCTTGCTCAGCCTTTTCTGCTCAAGGCTGGTACTCTACCACTTCTGCTTTTTGCTGGCCAGAGGAGTCTCTTGGATTTGTTTGCCTAGGCTGGGTTTTAAACCAGGATCCTTAGACTCAGCCTCCTGAGAAGCTAGGAGATCCTGGCTTATTTTTCTTAATTCACTTGATTATATTGATGTACTTTATCATAAACTAATGTAAATTATTTTGCAATTCAAATTTTTTACTTGACCCACCTTTTTTTTCCTTATGAAAAGGAGTCTTACTATATTGCCCAGCTGGCCTAGAACACATATGCTCAAGTGATCTTTCTACCTCAGCTCCCTAGAGCTGGGATTGTAAGAGCTCATCACTGTACTTGACTCATCACTGTATTTGATCTTCTTCCAGACTCATTCAAGTTCATATGCCTATAACACAAAGGACATTATGGGAGAGGGCAAAGTTGTGTAAATTGAAACTATTTTTTATTTTAAGGGTGATGACATATTTGTCTGTGGCAGGAGAACAGTAAAATTGCTCATTAGTTTTCCTTTCCTTTCTTTCTAGTTATAATTATCAAGTATGTTTCCATTGACTGAAGAAAACAAACTTGTGGCCCACTTGTTGCTCAGTTCTGGAACCTGTCCAAGATGTATCTTCAGATTCTGTGGTGTGGATTTTCATGCACCTTACAAACTTCCATACAAGGTATTTTCTTTATTTTTTTGAATTAAGAGGTTTCCCCCCATACTACTACTATTATTATTGTTGTTGTTACTATTGCCAGTCCTGGGGCTTGAACTCAGGGTCTGGGCGCTGTCCCTGAGCTATTTTGCACAAGATTAGCATTCTACCACTTGAGCTCTACTTCTAGCTTTTTTTGGTGCTTTTTTAAGTGTTCACATTTATATCTATCATATGGTGTAGACAGATCTTTTTTTAAATATTTTTTAATTTTGTTTACTTATTTTTTATTATAAAAATACCGTACAGAGGAGTTACAATTACATGAGCAAGATAATGAGTACATATCTTATCGAGCATTGTTGCCTCCTCCTTTGTTTTAGACAGATCTTTGTAGAGGAATTTACTGGTACTTTTAATGTTTACATGGATTTTTTTCCCAAAGGACATTTGAATAGAATATCACAAAATACTGCTTCTGGGTTGGGAATGTGGCTTAGTGGTAGAGTGCTTGACTAGCATGCATGAAGCCTTGGGTTTGATTCCTTAATATCACATAAACAGCTAGCTACTCAGGAGGCTGAGATCTGATCATGGTTCAAAGCCAGCCCAGGCAGGAAAGTCCGTGAGACTCTTATCTCCAATAAACCACTCAAAAAATTATAAGTCATACTGTGGCTCAAGTGGTAGAGTTCTAGCCTTGAGCTGAAAGGCTGAGTGACAGCATCCAGTTAAAAAAAGAATATCACAGAAATGTTTGTTTTCTTTGTCAGTTGTGGAGCTTGAACTCAGGACCTGGGTGCTGTCCTTGAGCCTCTAAATGCTTAAGGCTAGCACTCAACCACTCAAGCCACAGCACTACTTCCAGCTTTTGAGTGGTTAATTTGAGATAAGAGTCTCACAGGGACTTTTCTGCCTGGGCTTGCTTCCATTTGTGTTTCTCAGATCTCAGCCTCCTGAGTAGCTAGGATTATACGTGTGAGCTATTGGTTCCTGGCTAGAATGTTTCTTTAAATTAGTGTATATAAATCATTTGTAATTATGGTGCCAAATTTCAGCACTATCATTATCTGTGTATTATTTATTAAATTGTCTGAAGATATTTTGCTTAATGGACTTCTCCAAATGATTGGATTTTATATTAAAGAAATACTGTATTTGTGATATTTTAGTGATTGTGAGGAAGGATTGTGATTCAGTTTATATTTCTTCTCTCTTCCTATCTCTTCTCCTTTCCCCTTCCTTTATCTCCCCTTTCCCCACCCTTTCTTTTCACTTTTTTTTTTTGTCAGTCGAGGGGCTTGAACTCTGGGCCTGGGAGCTGTATCTGAGCTCTTCAGCTCAAGGTGAGCAGTCTACCACTTGAGCCACAGTGCCACTTCTGGTTTTCTGGTGGTTAATTGGAGATAAGAGTCTCAGGGACTTTCTTGTCTGGGCTGGCTTTGAACCATGATCCTCAGACTCAGCCTCCTGAGTGGCTAGGATTACAGGCATGAGCCACTGGTGCCTGGCCACTTTTTTTAAAAAATGCTTGAATCTGAATAGTAATTCAAGGCCTTGTATATGCTAACCAGGCATTTTACATCTGCATCTCCAGTCCAATTTATATTTTTATGAATTACCAAAATTAACAAAAAACCACTCTCACAGAGTTACAAACTAGATTAATAAATTTGTTGGTGGTACTTTTCTGCCTGAGATTTAGTATTTTACCTTCACTGATGTATGGAATCCCATTGGGAAAATACAGTGGTTGTTAGATAAGTCTCTTCAATTCCATAGAAAGCCAGTACTGTCTAATAAAATAAATTCATTGTTCCAGCATTTATATAAGTCATCACTGCACAGCTCTTTAATTACAATTTGTACTGTTGTTTTCATGCTTTTATCTTATCCAGAAATCCTGAAGGACATTATAGAAGGATCATTACTTTTTCTTTCATTAAATTTTCAGGAGTTGCTTAGTGATCTACAGAAATTTCTGAAGTCTGGAAAAGATGAATCGGTTTTGGAAGTTCCAAACCCACCTCCCAAGAAAATTCGGCTACAAGAACTGGAAGATGGGGTTGATAATTTAATTCGAAATGGAGAAGGCAATATCTCTTATATTGAAGATGGAAGCATTGCTTCCAAGAACTCAAATTTTAGTGTATGCAATGTTTGCCTTGGAATTCTCCAAGAATTCTGTGAAAAAGAGTTCATTATGAAGGTAAATAATATTTTTTGTTACAAATACAACTATGCCAATATTTTCAGTCTTGAGGCTCAGAGTACTTGTATGCATAGAAAGGAACCATGCCATTCATTTCAACTTGTTTCACACTAATGTATAATTGAAACCTGAAGCCCAGGCGCTGGTGGCTCACGCCTGTAATCCTAGCTACTCAGGAGGCTGAGATCTGAGGATCGCGGTTCAAAGCCAGCCCGGGCAGGAGAGACCGTGAGACTCCTATCTCCAGTAAACCACCAGAAAACCGGAAGTGGCGCTGTAGCTCAAGTGGTAGAGCGCTGGCCTTGAGCTGAAGAGCTGAGGGACAGCGCCCAGGCCCAGAGTTCAAGCCCCACAACCGACCGAAAAAAAAAAAAAAAGAAACATGATTTTGTTTTTTAAAACCAAAATCTACTACTCTTTGTATTGACATATCTGAAACTTAATGAACTATATCCCTGTATCTCAATCATGAGTGTTGTTAAACTGAGTGCTATTTGCCTGTTGCTGTTCAACATAGCTAAAGAGATAGAGGACACTTTTTGTAATACCTGGTATTACCTGAAAAAGGTAGATTACAGTTTTATAAAAGGTAAATGACTAAATGTGGAACTACTTTTTATTTCCTGCTATCAAGAATATTATGTTTAGCTTTATTTTATTGGCAGGCAATTAAAAGGAAGTAATCTAGTAGAAAGCTAATATTTTGGGGTTTTTTGGTATCAGACTTCTTGTTCTTTTGTTGTTGATGATTTTTTTTTGTTTGTTTTTGTTATTGGTCTTAGGGCCTGAACTCTGGGCTTAGGCACTGTCCCTCAGCTCTTCAGCTCAAGGCTAGTGCTCTACCACAGCGCCACTTCTGGCTTTTTCTGCTTATGTGGCGCTGAGGAATTGAACCCAGGGCCCCATGCATGCAAGGCAAGCGCTCTACCACTGAGCCATCTTCCCAGCCCCAGACTGTTCTTGCTTGCTTTTTCACCTGTAGCTGAGGCTCTATTACTTGAGCCATACTTTGGCTTCTGTTTTGTGCTGGTTAATTGAACATAAGAGTGTCTAAGATTTGTCTGCCCTGGCTGGCTTCAAACCGAGATCCTCAGATTTCATCCTTCCGAGTAGTGAGGTTTATAGGTGTGAGCCACTGGCAACCAGTGGCCATTTTGACACTCAACCACTTGTACTAAGGAGTCAGTTGTAGCTGTTTTGGACCTTACAATATTTTCAGGGTCATAATTAGAATAGAAAATGTTTCATTTTAGGATGTTTATAAGAATTCTGAATCAACTGTGAAAGGTTTTATTTAAATTTGATTTTGTTCATAGCAATGCTGGGGATTAAACCCATGTCCTGGCACGTTTCACAATAGCTATCTCTGGGGTACATCCATATCCTCCATCTGAAAGTTTGGAAAGTTTTCAGTCATTTCCTGGACAAAAATTCATGTTCTGAAGATTAGAGTAAGATTTTAATCAATTCTTGGGATTTACGTAATTGTAATGCTTTTTTTAGGTATGCCAAAAGGTTGAAGCTTCTGGGTTTGAATTCAACAACCTGGTATTTTCCGTATCCTTTCCACCGCAGCTATCTGTAAGAGAGGTAAGGTCTTTTTTTTTTTTTTTTTTGTGGGGCTCAAACTCTGGGCCTGGGTGCTGCCCCTGAGCTCTTCAGCCCAAGGCGAGCGCTCTATCACTTGAGTCACAGCGCCACTTCTGGTTTCATGGTTAATTGGAGATAAGAGTCTCGCAGACTTTCCTGCCCAATCTGGCTTTGAACCGTGATCCTCAGATCTCAGCCTCCTGAGTAGCTAGGTGAGCCACCGTGGCCTGTGAGGTAAGGTCTTTTGTACACTTAAAAGTCTATGTGAGCTGGGAAAAATCACAACACGTAGCTAAGATATCCAAACAATTTTAACAGACTACTTTCAAAAGCTATACTCTCTAAAGGAAGAAAATCGGGCAGAAATGGATGCATTTTTAGAGAAATACAAGTTGCCCAAACTGAGCAAAGAAGAAGTAAATCAACTAAATAAGCCAATATCCTACAACAAGATACAGGAAGCAATCAGAAGTCTTCCAACAAAGAAAAGCCCAGGACCAGATGGATTCACAACAGAATTCTAGGAGATCTTTAAAGAAGAACTAATACCCATACTCCTCAAGCTCTTCAGAGAAACAGAGAAGGAGGGAGCTATCCCAAACTCATTCTACGATGCCAATATCACATTCATCCCCCCAAACCAGGCAAAGACCCAACCCAAAAGAATTACAGGCCAATTTCCTTGATGAACACAGATGCAAAGATCCTTAACAAAATTCTAGCTAACAGAATCCAGAAACACATAAAAAAAATCATGCACTACGACCAGGTAGGCTTCATCCCAGAGATGCAGGGATGGTTTAACATATGTAAGTTAATAAATATAGTCCAACACATCAACAGAGCCAAGGTCAAGAATCACATGATTATTTCCACAGGTGCAGAAAAGACCTTTGGTAAAATTCAACATTCATTCATGCTAAAAGCTCTGGAGAAAATAGGAATAGAAGGAACATTTCTTAAAACAATAAAAGCCATTTACAACAGACCAATAGCCAGTATTATACTTAATGGGGAAAAGCTACAACCGATTCTCCTAAAATCAGGAACAAGGCAAGGATGCCCACTGTGTCCACTCCTCTTCAACATAGTCCTGGAACCCTTAGCCAGGGCAATAAGGCAAGAAAAAGCCATGGGATCCGCATAGGGAAAGAAGAAGTTAAACTATCCCTTTTTGCAGATGACATGATATATACGTTCACAATCCCAAAAACTCCATCCCCAAACTCTTAGAAATCATAAATCACTTCGGCAAAGTAGCAGGATACAAAATCAACCCACAAAAATCAGTTGCCTTCCTGTACACTGACAATGTACAAGCAGAGAAGGAAATAAAGGAAGCAACCCCACGTACAATAACCTCCCCAAAAATAAAATATTTAGGAATTAACCTAACCAAAAATGTAAAAGAACTATTTAATAGAACCTATAAAAAGTTAAAGAAAGGACTTACAGAAGACACTACGAAATGGAAAGACCTCCCATGCTCTTGCATAGGCAGATTTAATATAGTGAAAATGGCAATACTGCCAAAATTAATATACAAATTCAATGCAATTCCTATTAAAATCCCAATGACGTACATCTCTGAAATACAGAAAACAGTCCAAAAATTCATATGGAACAACAAAAGGCCTAGAATAGCCAAAACAATTCTAAGGAATAAAGACAACATGGGAGGGATATCCATGCCAAACTTCAAACTCTACTATAGAGCCATAATAGCAAAGACAGCATGGTACTGGCACAAAAACAAACCTGAAGACCAATGGAATAGAATAGAAGATCCAAAAATAAATCCACAGGCCTACAGCCAGCTGATATTCGACAAAGGAGCCAAAGACATACAATGGAAGAAACACAGCCTCTTCAACCACTGGTGCTGGGAAAACAGGGCGGCCACATGCAGAAGACTAAAAGTGGACCCCAGCCTGTCACCATGCACTAACATCAACTAAAATGGATTAAAGACCTTAACATTAAACCTGAATCTCTGAAACTACTGCAGGACAGAGTAGGAGAGACACTTGAAATTATAGGCACAGGAAGGAACTTCCTGAACAGAGTCCCAGGGTCACAACAAATTGGAGAGACTTGAGAAATGGGACTACCTTAAAATAAAAAGCTTCTGCACAGCAAAAGCTATCGTAACCAAGCTAGAAAGACAACCAACTAATTGGGAAAAAATATTTACCAGCAATATATCAGACAAGGGGTTAATATCCTGTATATACAGGGAACTCAAGAAACTAATCCCTCCCAAACCTAACAAACCAATTATTAAATGGGCAAGGGAACTAAAGAGAGACTTCTCAGATGAAGAGATAAAAATGGCAAAGAAACACATGAGGAAATATTCACCATCCCTGGTTGTGAAGGAAATGCAAATAAAGACAACCCTGAGATACCACCTTACTCCAGTCAGAATGTCCAAGTGCTGGAGGGGATGCAGAGAAAGAGGAACCCTATTACACTGCTGGTGGGAATGTACACTTATACAACCACTTTGGAAAGCAGTCTGGAGGG